ATATATATAAACACATCACCTGATGCTATATACTATATCCTGTGCAGATAACTGCTATAAAAAAAAGCATGCTAAAGGGTATAGAAAGATTGCATGAGGTTAACACTATACCACTATTTTACCATGAGTTCCTATAAAGCAAAGTCTGAGGTGAGGACTTGTAAGAAGTTTATCTGGGTGGTGATTTCTTAGGGACAAGGTAGAGTAAAACCTGAACAAAGAAAAGTGGGCACCACTGAGGACAACTGAGACTCAATCTTACTGGTAACTTCTAAGAAAAACAGAGACCGCCTTTCACAATCGAAGAATCAACAGCAAAAAGCATGTATTCATCACATCCTGCCCCCATTACCTGAGGGTTCCCACTGGGGGAAATAACCCCCTGCCCTTTCAGGCAGCATATCTGCCATGTGGGCTGCATGCCCCAAGTCCCTCCATTGGAGAAGCCCTGGGACAGTAGACAGAGCTATGCTGGGAGAAGTTAAGGAAGAATCTGAAAGTATAGATTGAGTCACTGTACAGGGTGGGCTATTTGACACAGCTGTGGCTAGAATCACAGGTGAGGACAAGAGGATGCGAGGCTGAGCATACAAGGCACCTGATACAGTCCATCCAGAAATGGCACCATCCAGAAATTCTCATGCTCTATACTTTAAATACAATCCATTATCAAGACTCTTAGGTGGTGACTGTATGAGAGCTCTGCTAAGGCTCTAATACAAGGGGGGTTAGTGGGACAAGCTACAGGCCACACTAATACAACTGGTCCTGAGGCTATAATGAACGTTCACCTGGCCCCTCTCTATCATCCACTGTAGATTTCCCTTATCCTTGGCTAGCATCTCAGCTAATGGAGTGACACTAACCTTCATCCTCAAGATCTGAGCCCTTAGCTGCCTTGCCCTAGTTAGGCGGTGGTTGCCATAACTGCCTATTCACTGGACTTGGAAGCCAAGATTTGCCACCATGAATATTGTGACTTCCAGACATACTCCTCCTTATCTGCATTAGGTAAAGCTGCCCTACCTCTTCATGATCATCAGAATTGATTATCTCTAGTTGTCTACTAATTATGTTTGATGGATTCAAATGATCAGGTAGTAGTGGTAGTTTTAGTTTAGTGGAACCCATATTGGGAGCCATGGAAGAACCTAAAATTGCAAGGATAGAAAGCACAGATTCAATTTCTGGATCACTGGGAGTGATAATGATGGGGGGTGGGGGTGGGAAGCCCTTCATTTCCAGCTCCCTGTATTCTATCTATTGGGAAACAACAGCATGCATCAGCCATTGGCTCACTGCATGTGGCATATGATGAAGGACAGCATTCCATTCCACAGGATGTTGTTCCCAAGCTGGGAACTTATCCATCCCTTAAGGTTGTAGGACATTCATCATTCTACTAAGCCATATGTTTCAGGGTGATGCAGGTTTCAGGGTCATGTACCTGTTACATAACTTTTTCACAATAAATGCATTTCTTGTTCTGAGGCACTATTTGTGGAATCTCCTGGCAGTAAAGCAGGCTCCCTAGTCTCTCAGAAGACAGTCCTGGCAAAAGCGCTATGGAAAGAGAAGGCAAAACTCATGTCTGGAGTAGGTGCCAGTTCAGCAATAGGAATCTCTGTTCTTTCCATGAGAGAAGGAGAGTGATGCAGATAACTTGTCACTAAGTTGGGGGGTGAACTTTGTGAAGGATGGTCTCTCTTGAGAGCTCGGTGTTGGTCTCTGAGCAGGCCAGGTATTCAGTAACAGCCGTGGGGAGCTTAGCATTGGTGAAAGGGATTCCATGGTGTTGGCCCATGCACAGCCATATATATATTGCTTAACATGGTGCCTGGCTCATATGTTTAGAGCTTAGTTGACATCTACTCTTATTCTTAGTCACAGAAATCCTCAGGTTTAGGTTCAGTATTAATATCTCTTTAAAAAACTACCAGAAAACTAGTAAGCGGGCCCAGGATTCAGATCTGGGTTGTAGATGTCCACCAGGCATATTTGTGATATTCAGAGAAAAATAATATTAAAGATGCACATTACAAGGCTATTACTTGTTACCCAATGTAACTTCCTCCAGACCCTATGTCTCCTCTGCTATCCTTTATATATAAAAAAAAGTAAGTAGAAACTCAACAAAAGGTAGGGATTTTAATAAACACCATTTTCTTCTTCTAAGCTTAAACGTTAACTGAACATGACTCATCCAGCATAGACTAAGGTACAAATATAAGCATCAATTTAACATCTGAAAAGATATTTGCATTGAACTCACAGTTTTGAATCTAGAAAGGAAGTTACTGCTAAAATGGAATTGTGAGAAGACACATGAAAACACAGAAAAGCAAGCTACTTGTAAACCCGCATGTTCCTTCTGCCAAATTCTGCTTATCTTTGGAGCTCACATTGAGTTTGGAACACACGGAAGGGATGCTGGCAACTAACTAAAGAATGGAACGTTTTCATTGTGATGTGGCTCAGGATGTGATGTATGTATTATTTTCCTATCAGGTACATGTCACATGAATGATATGGTAATGCAGATATGTTCTTCAGCTTTTCTAAGACAAATACAAGTCTAAAAAATAACATTAACAAAAGATGATGTTATTTTAGCTTAGGAGTTGTTTCTCTCTCTCTCTCTCTCTCTCTCTATAATAGAGAGAGGAGAGAGAGAGAGAGAGAGAGTAGGAGTAAAATCTATGGAAAAAATGTGAACCAAATTGGTAAGATTTTTGTAAATATTTTCATTATAAATGTTGCTAAAAAAAAGCATAGAAATATTTCTATTTTTTTCAGTTAATTCCAAAGAGTTAATAAAATACAGAGGAGTCACTTTTTAAAATACTTTTAATTTAAAATTATATTTTTAAAAAAAATTCAAAAGTATCACCTTTAAAAAGAATTTTAATTGAAAAGCATAATTGTAAATAAATAATTGGGCACAAAGAGATCCCTCTGGAAGTACTCCAAAGGACAAAGATCACAGGAAGGGTTGGGTGTACCCTGGAAACAGAAAAGGTTGAGACTTCAAATGGAAATTCCTAACATGTTGATGTATTTTTTTTTCTTTTGCAGAAAAACTGGAGACAAGATTTGCCAGGCACGAAAACCGGGGCCTCCTGATAGCAGCCTTCATGGAAGATGCCAGCTGCCATGGTCAATTCTGGCTGTTACAGTTTCTCTACTTCAGAAAAGCAGGGTTGAGAGTGTATAAAGCTACTTAAAAGCTGTAATATTGAAAATCATGGGGATAGAAGGTGCAGTGTAATGGAAGGAACTCCTAAAGAATGAAACTAAAACTATAACATAAATGCAAAAGAATAATCACAGTAAGTTAGCTCTAATTTATGGGGCATATATCATATATGGGCACCTTAGATACATCATCCATTTTAATATTCACAATAGCCGCAACAGGTAGGAATTACTAAACCATTTTACTGATGAGGAAACTGAGGCTTGGAGCAATAACTTGTCCACAGGCACATAGTGGGAAGTGGCAAAGATGGAACTGAAGGCCATAATGTTATAAAAATTGTGTAATTCAACACTTCACATTAACAAAAATATATATGCCGGACACTGTAACAGCAAAATACAGAAAAAAGACCCAAAAGTTAATTATTACTCCTTCTATCTTACTGATATTTTTAAATAAAGGGAAACATGATAAATATTAAGGAAGACAATTAATAAACACAAGGTGTGAATATAATGTAATAAAACCAATAGTTAGAAACACTCTAGAACTTAGCAAAATAATAACACAACCTCTCAAATCAGTTAATATCCATTTAAGATGTTAAAAGGACAGAGAAGTACTTCTATGATCATGCCATTGCACAAAACACTTTTACGTGGGCATCATGACTGTAAAATCATGTATCTTTGGTTCCTGAAGCACAGCCTTTAGAACAAATATTGCCTGTAACATGTAGAAATAGCCAAAAGTCACTTGGATACATCAAAATATTAAAGTAGATCTTTCTAGAAGGTGAAATTTCAGAGAAATCACTCTCTAAGTAAAACATTTCTATGATAGTTCACTTTTTCATAATGTTTACAAAAATAAAACACTTAAACAGTCATATGGGACCAACATTTGAGTAATCATCTGACATTTACAATTTCATTTGGAAAGTGTTCTTGTGTGGTTAATAACTTAACTCTATGTGTCATTCTACACATGGAGCATCAGGTAGAGACAACACTGATGGATCATGCATATATTCCCTTCCAAATAAGCTTTGTTCAAGTACTATATTCATGTAGCTATAGGAGCTGTGGTGTGTTTTGCAAATTCATTATCATTGCTTTATACACATTCTGTATATATATCATGCCCCCCCCCCACCCCGCCAACCTACATAAAACAGTAACTAGACTCAGCCTCTGAGAAAGACACATGCTAACACATTTTTAGTCACCAACAGTGTGTCATTAAAGCAGGGAGAAGGAAGACAAATCTGGGGGGAGGTGCTGGTATCTGCAATTCAAAAAGATTTAACCATCTAGAATTCTCTGCCAAAAGCACCTATCAATTGATGCTGATGGGGAAAACTAGAAATTCACCATGACACTTTGTGCTTCATAGGATTATTACTCCTGAGCCTCAGAAAGTACAAAAAAGAGGAAAGGTGATAGCTAGATTAACAAGGATATTCTTCCAAACTGCCTTAAGAGAAGAGTGTTTTTTCTATTTCTAACTAGGGATGATCTGGATCTATGTACGTAAACTCAAGCTATGGTTCCTGGATTAGAAAAAGTTCAGGTCTCAAGATAAGAAAATAGCTGGGTTGTTTTATTGTTTTTGCTTTAATCTGGGTATTTCTTTCATGCGTGTAAATCGATGTTAAAAAAACAAATTGCTTTTGTCCCTGGCCGGGTAGCTCAGATGTTTGGAGCATTGGCCTGATGAGCCAAGGTTGTGGATTTGATCCCTGGTCAGTGCACTTACAAGAATCAACCAGTGAATGCATGAGTAGGTGGAACAACAAATGGATGTTTTTCTCTCTTCCTTCCTCTCTCTTTCTCTCTCTCAAATCAATAAGTAAAAAATATTTTTAAAAACCCAATAACTTTCAAGCACATTGTTAACAGCAATTTACAATATAAAGGAACTATAGATAAAGACATTTTAAAAATAGTCTTTAACAAATACATTGCCTCCAGGTGTTTAATTCTAAAAAAGAACACTTTAATTCAAAATATATTGTTCACAACTTAGAGGCATAAACCATTTTAAGTATATCCTTGAAAGGTTGAATTCTGCAGAAATATTACTTAGAAGACCGTCAAACCTCAGAGGGAAGGTAGGGGAGGATGGGGGTAAGGGGGAGAGATCAACCAAAGGACTTGTATGCATGCATATAAGCCTAACCAATGGACACACTTTTTGAAGCGATATTTGCTGCTCACTAGAGGCATTGGCAATGGTTCCTTGGTGGTTAATGCTAATGAGGTAAATAAAAATAAAAAGAAATAATATACGTATCAGAATTACATTTCTTGCTTTGTAAATTCTTTCACTCCAAAAACTTCTCATTTCTTTTCTTGTTATAGACTAAGTAATCACTTTTGTTAATATTCTTTTTAAAATTTTCTTTCTCATCTTTAAAAATTTGTAAGCAGCTAAGTACCACAACCATTTAGATTCCAAAGGCCTTGTGGTTAAAAGAACCACATATTTCTTTCTAATTGTAGTAATTAAATATATTCACTGATTGCTTACTATATTTTCATTCCAAGACCAGGCAAGAAGAGAGTCATACATAACCCATGCTTTGATGAAGCACATGAGGATTGGTGGCAGGAGAAGGGATCCAAAGCTCTACTGTCAATTGCCTTTCTCCGTCCATTACCATCCTATTTCTCTATCATACCCTCTTACTAACGTTGCACCCCTAAACCCCCAACATGTTTTATTTGATATAAAAACTAATTAAATATTAGAGACCCATGAAGAGCAAAGCAAACAATTGCAGAGTTGAGCTATAGATTAGTCATTAGAACCCAGATCTTAGAATTAATCAAGTAATTATAATACGAATTCAGATGATCTTGTTGATAGAAGACTCTTGGCAATTTCATTAACTGTTAAAGGGGATAGAGTTCTACCGCTCTGGCCAAGTGGAGAAATAACTCCAGTGGATTTTTTTTTTAAATCATGAGGCCCTCAATGTGAAAGAAGTAGTCTTTAAAATACCTCAACCTTGGCAAAAAAAAAAAAAAAAGCCAAAAAGGCAACCATACCTTCTCCTTTGATAGTCAGTCTTGTTGCTCCATTTATGCTGCCATATTTAGGTATTATTTCTGTGACTTTAGGAATTATTTTAGAGCCATCTGAAAGATATTAAAATACAGTGGAGGGAAAATTATCAAGGACTTCATTTCAAGCATCAAATTTCATACCATGTATTACAACATCGTTAGAAAAGTATCATGAAGGCTATAGTCTGAAAGTAAATATACCAATGTTTTATTTTTGGCTCTACTGCTAACCAATGACTTGACAGCAAGTTAAGTCATTAACTCAGTTACTACTCATTGATCATTTTCATCATTCTTATCTATCACATTATAAAACACTTATTAGACCCTTAAATTCAGGCACATAGGAAGTGCAAAGCTAGTACAATCAAAGAACACTTCAGGTGCAAAGAGGAATGTTGTGTTTTAAGAAGACATTGTTTTCTATGACAGAGTAAGACTTCAGGAAAGATCTAGCCTCCTGATGATAGCAAGTTCTTAATGCACAGGTCATGGATTCATTCAACAAACGGTGTTACTGTGCCTGAGGATATAAAAATGCATAACAATCTCAACTTCCCAGAAGTTTAGCTTGCACTGCACAGAGTGACACGAGACAGCACGGGGGCCATAGATGACTCAGATGGGGCAATTCATCCATATTTCTTGGGTCACACCCCCTTATTGAGAAAAGAGCTGCCCCTGCTGCATTTGGGAGGGCAAATATCAGTTAGCTTAGACTGGACCAATTGTGGGGAAGACAAAGAGTTCTAGACAGAAGGTGGGTGAGTGGCTTCCTTGGAGAACTGTAAGCAGTGCGTTAAAACAACTCAAAGATACCCAGTGAGCAGTAGAGTTTATTTTCTTCTAAAAACTGTACAGATCTGGATACTAGTAAATCCAGTAACAAATTCTCAGAGTAGGTGGGAAAATTTAAGTGGGGGTGGGAGGGGGAGGCACAAAGAAAGAGAAAGGTGAACGAAGTTATGATGGTATGGTTCATTCCTGCCTGAGAAAAGTTTAGCAGGGACTTCACCTATAAGGCCAACAGCTCTCCACCATAAAGACTAGCCCCCTCACCCAACGCCTCTGTGCTTTAGGCCTGTCCTTGCCAAGAGCCCACGGCTGTTGCCGCTTCAGGCACTTCGGTAGCTTCCAGCAGCCCACAGCCGCCGGTAGGAAACTCCAGCTGGATCCTATCTCCAGGACCCTACTGCTCCTCACCTATCTCAGGTTCATCCTCCAGTTATCTCCGCGAACAACTCCAATTTCTTATCTTATCAGTCTCTTGCCAGCCTTCTCCTGGGTATTACTTTGAAGGCTCGGGGCAGCTGGCCCTGGAAGTGACTGGCACCCGCCACAAAGACCCACTCTGTCCCACTGGGAGACTTCCCCTAAGTGGGGCCAAAGGACCCAAGAAGAGAGAGAGGGAGGACTCGGGCTGCCTCCCTGGCCATCACCACTTCCCAGGCCACATGTCAGTCTCATTTCAACAGGTCACCTGGGGGGAGGAGGTGAGACTCAAACTCTCGCAAGCAACACGGATGAATTCAGAGCAATCGCTCCCTCTCCCTCGGTCTGTCTGGGTCAGGCCCGCCTTCCAGGTCCTTTGGTCCAGGCTTGCGCGGCGGCGACACCCACCCCTTTGGCCC